AAGTTTTAATCTATTTCTTGAAGAAGGATGATCAACCTGTCAATATGATAAGTTGCACAAATACTCATGCATGTCTCTCATAAATATTTTAAAGAACTAATTCTACATGAGGTTCATTACGTTAAAGTTCTAAAATATTTTATGTACTTCATTTACCTGAAAGTGATGCACCAAGAAATTCCTTATATTAGTATTAAGAGTGTGAAGGTAAAGATCTTGATAAGCCCATTTAGTGTTATAAATTTGAAAAGATGGTGTCTACAAGAATGCTTGAATGTTGTCGTTCAAGACTTTGAAAAATGATGCATTAATATGAAATTCATGTTGAGATTTTTAAGAATGATCCCATTATTTTGAAAGAATTTGAAGTTTGAAAATTTGCATGCATTGCAGAAGAGTGACAATTACACCACTAAGCGCCTTAGATTTGCCTCACATATGCATTTTAGTGGTAATATGCTATAAACTTTTGGGGAGATTGAAACAAATCCAATGAGCATAGCTATACAAGTGATTAAAATGTAAAAGTTAAACTTGCTCTAGAAAAATTATAAGATGTTAGACAAATTATTATAATGAACGATGTAGTAGAAATTAATTTGGGAACAATTGATCATTGCTCAGTTTTAGTACACTCCTTGAGGATAAAGGTGAAATAAAAGCAAATTCTGTGAATTCAAGATATGATTTGTCTGGATATATGCTAAAATGCTCAGTTTATTCCTTGATGTGGCAATTTGCAGACCATCCATCAAATCCAATCACAACACTTATCAAGCAAGCCAGAAGATGATTAAGATTTGAGATTGAATAACAGGCGATTGCAAGAAAAGACTCATTAAAGCAATCTTTATTTATGAAATAAATACACTGATTGAATAGTTAATATTGTGTCAATAAAGGAGAATGCCAAATCTACATTTGTATTGACTTATGGGATCTTGATAAGACTTGTCTAAAAGATAAATTTTAGCTTTCTGTGTCAGAATTATTTGTGGACAACAACTTGCACTTACTGAAAATGATTCTTCTGTCAAGCTGAGCTAATTATCATTATTGACAAGATACAATAAGGTCCATAAAAATCAATGATGACGAAATCATTAGATCTTAATCAAGTTTGTCATAATTCCCCCACTATTTGTTTTATGCCAATTATGGGAAATCTCCGTATTTCAAGTGAAAATTCTTACTACTATATACTAAACAATTAGCGTTACGATGAACCATAGTCGAAGTCAAAAGTTTTTTTTGACTAGGAGGGATTATCAAAAGTTCATCGTAAAATATGGTTGAAATATTTAGGTTGTATATTATTTGCGATCTAACCTATATTTTAAAAACTTGATACAAACTGATATTAGAAAACTATCTTCGGAATGGCTGGAGTGTAAATTTTCTAGGCCTATATTATTATCATACAATAGCTTATTATACATCAATATGCAACATGTTTTTGTAGGGTTATCACCTAATTATACTGTCAGGGCAATTATTTAAATTCAATTGTATAGGCTTCTGTATTGCAGAATTACAATCCAATTATGCAGCCATCATTCTTGCAGGAATAAATTTTAAACCCATTTTTGTTTAATCATTTGGGGCAGAAGTGTAGCCTATCATAAATCCATTTTTGTTTAATCATTTGGGGCAGAAGTGTAGCCTAATTATTTCACATTTTTGAAATGCTTGTAGGTCTTTTTATTACAAGATGCAAGCATATCATATGCATCTTAGCTTTCATACAAACATATCTTTCACTGAAATCGTTCATGATAGCCCCCATCTCATTATATCACAAGTCAAGTATCTTGAATCACATGGTATCCACAAGCAACATGTTCATGATAATATGCATATTTGTATGGTGGTATTAAGTATATTTGTGCATATGATCAACAACATGTTGAGTACCAACCAATACTTGTCATCATAGATTAATCATGGATATATAAACTTCACACAAAATACTCCATCATGCAAAGGAAAGGAGCATGCTGATCCATGTCATAACAAAGATCACTTACCATAAACATGGTAGATACTTGCATGTCTTTCTTTCAAATTCTTTTCGACCTCTTTGGAATCCACTCTAAGCTCTCACTTAAATGTTCACATGCTTTCTCATCTGTCCAAAATGATAGTAAGGTGTGGAATCTTCTTTATATCTCCTATATAAAATTAAAGTCACAATTTTCTCTTTTTCATATGATTCCTCTCCCTTAGTCTGTAGATTAAGCTACATGCAATTATTCATGCAGCATGTGAATAGGCTACTAATTGTAAATATTTGCTCTGCTCAATTTATTATTATATTGTAATGCTATCCTAGTAAATATGTCATAAAACAACTGTTTAAATGTATAGGAGCAATCATTTAAATGTATTGGATCAGTCATAAAACAACTGATTAAATGTATAGGACAAAACAACTGTTTATTATTATTTTGTATGAATTCAACTCCCAAAATTTACTGTTGATACACTTGCTTAATTACCAACATTAAATTCAACATCGTTATGTTTATAATAAAAATACTTTGTACATAAGCTTCCTTTATGATGGACATAAGCATCGGGAAAATAGTGTGTTCCTCATCATAAAGCTAATATTTTTCATGTTTCATTTAATGCACTTTTGAAGCGCACTTTGATCAAGCATCATTGTTGAATTGAAGACTTGTAATTCTTAATGATATATGTAATATCAGAGCTAGAATTAAGCATAACATGAACTTCTAAAATTCATTGGCGATAGTTTTCTTTCCAATAAAAAATGTCTTAGTTTTTGGATTAATTTGAACAATGACTTGTCCTCTAATAAAGCTTTGAACATACCTTATTAATACTTGATTAGAGATAGAAAAATGCAATATCAACAACTTAGAGAGTTTAAGCCAATTTGCAATTGCTTTAATATTTTGTTAATTATAATATATTTGTTTAACACTCACAATTTGTCCAAGGAAAAAATGCAACACTTTGTAACAAAAAAATCATTATAAAAAAACTTATGACACTGAACTAGGGTGTCTAGTCGGTGTGGGAAGGTTAATAAATGAGTTAGGAGACTCGTATGGCGAGAAATGGAAGAAGAAACAATGAACGACTGCTGGCCTTAAAACAACAAGTTGAATGGCGAAACATCGATAATGTTTCACCATCTATTCTTTTTAAGATGTAGATTCACCAATTGAAGAAAATTAGGCAACAACTCAGCAAAGAGGATAATAGGGAGAAAAACCTCCAAATAATATAAACCAAGAAAAAATCCTCAAAAATAGGAAATACAACGTATAAATATATTCCCAATGGAAAATAAACCTAGTAGATTTCAAATAATAAAATAAATTTAAAGAAGGGCCCGCAGAGCTGGCAACAAAATTCCCATGTGGGACAGCCTTGCTTTAGCCTATTGGGATGGGATTTCATCCTGATTCCTGCATACGTAGGAAATACCCACGGAACATTTGCTCGGCATCAACATAGCTTATAACTTCTTTTTCTTTAAAATTTTTCAAAGCAATGTGTAGATGATAAAATATACTTGGGTTCATTTCTCAACTAAATCAGATTTTACCTTGATAAGCTCAATTTCAACTTTATCCAAACTTGGCTTGAAAAATTTATTCATTCAAGAGGTTAGTCAATGTGTCATACAATTCAGACCATATTAAATGTTCCCTAAACTATAGAAATTTGCTTGCCTTTTAGGAGTTCTTATAAAATTAAAATGATAATATTTTTATTTGTCTGCCACCCTAGTTAAGATATGTCAATTATTGCTTTTTAATCATGGGCGTTTCAGACAAAGCATGCCATAATTATATAGATTTTTCACATAGCATGACTATCATGAACTATCGTCGTCTCTATTTGCCATTTGGGAGTGCTTGACGTTCTTCTTGATTACTCGTTCTTTTACTCGCATAGGCCATTCAATCTTAATTGAAGTACCAAAATGCAAAAGCTGATGTCAACTGTAGGAAGATGATAATAGGTGGTCTGCTTGCAATACTGAGAATTGTGATCACATGGGACATTAGATCAAAGGTGTTGCAACGGTGAGAAAAAGAGATGGAAATGAAAATTCAAGTCAGAAGTTCTTTCTTAAGGTCAATAAGTTACAGAAATCCTGAGTAGTATTCTTGTGCAAAATAAGAACAATCCCCTTCACTCACTAGTCACATTTTGGTTCTTGTATCGGTTTTTTGTTACCACCTAGTGCTTTTCGGCCTAATTTGTAATTTTACGACTTATTCACCATTGAACTTCTTTGACTTATTCTCACCCTCCTTGACAAATTGTCTGGGTTAGAAATTATTGATCAGTCTAAAGAGTGGGTTTATATCCCTTTACTCTTATCTATTTAAACAGTGGTATTGATGTGTTTATTGTACCTAATAGTTGACTTATTTGGTGATGTATAGCTGGATATAGTTTATGACTCAGATAGAATATAAACAGTGAAATAAAATAGAGCAATCTCCCTACACAATCAAAATGTAATCAATTGTGATATGTTTGTTAGGGATGACAACGTTGAGAAAATTAGTTTCAATGGTTGGGAACATTGATGTTTGTTGCATGCCTGTGCGGCTAGGAGGTTTTCGTTGGAAATAGTAAGGCAAGGCGAAATGCTACTGGGGAGTATTTGGATAACTATTAAGTGATAACATAAACAGAGAGATACAGTTTGTGTTCTAACAATTGACTCCGTAGAAAAGATGCATTTGCCTTCCGACATAAAATAGAAGATTTTCAAATGTTACATTTCCATGTGAAACCAAGACCATAGGAAGTTTTACATTATGTTTTCATTGTTGGATCATGCTAACTTGGCTTCCTTGGCTTATATTCTTTAGGCCTCAGGAAAAAAAAAAAATTGTTATATTAGATTACTGCAGAAGTGTCAACCTAACCATAAGAAAACTTACAATGGTGCTTCCATTGTTGTATCATGCTATTTGGCGTTTCATTCACTTGGCTTCTATTCTCAGGCCTCCGGAAGAATTTATCTCATATTAGAATACTGCAGAGGGGGTGACCTATCCCTGTATCTACAACGCCATGGAAGAGTTTCAGAAGCAACTGCAAAGCACTTTATGCAACAACTAGGTACAAATTAAATGTTACCAAGTTTTCAAACCTCATCAAACCTCACATTATTATTTTTTGTCTAGTATTATTATATTTATTGTTTATTTTTACCAGCTAGTGGCTTGCAAGTTCTCCATGACAATAATCTAATTCATCGTGATCTAAAGCCCCAGGTTTGTACATTTCTATCTTGAACTCTTAAAGATCCTTTTTTTCCTTTCCATTCCTCTAGAAAACTTGCCATATGATTCTTTGTACTCCATGTGTTCAATGAATGAATGTAGTACTTTTCAGGAATAAATGTAGTCTGTATGGAATGTTCTTAAAAAAATTTGCTGAGTATTTTTGTGTGAGAGATAAAAAAAATCAGACGATTTTTGTTTTTAAAACGGAATCAATAACATCCAAACTTACATAAAGTAGTGAGACGCAAGTCCACTCTTTGCAAAAATGTACCCAAATTCCTTTTGCTTGTTTCTGATGCTTGACTGCTGCCTCAAGTTCAATCTTGCCGTTTTTTTCTTAAATTTGTAGGTCCAACTATTTGTTTCCACTTCAAATTCATGTTTGGTGGAACTCGAAACTTCTGGCATCCATTTTTACACAATTTTTCTTTGCAACGTGTCATTGGTTAGCCAATTAATTTGGTTTTTTCGGTCATCTGAAACACTGGCAGTTCATGGCATAACCAATACAAATTGTGAAAGCCTTTGTAGATCTGGAAAATGACAAATGAAAGGATAAACATTCCTAAAAACTAGAAAGAAAAATCTTAACGGGAAACTTACTATTAGTTTTACTTCTTTGGGCAAACAAGCAATCCACTCAGAAACTTGTTTATATACTATATTTGCTTAAAATTTTATTTGCTAGCCGGCACTGCCCTGGACTAAGCCAGCACTTGTAAATAGCAAGCATTAATCGCAACTTTATTTATGATAATTCATAATAGTTTAATTAACAGGTATAATGATTGGAAGTAGTTCAATATTCAAGATTTTATCCAATCAAATATGCAAAGAACATTAATTATACACTATGGATCTATGATAGAAAATTGTTTAGACCATTCCAAAAACTTTTAAATGGCAAGAAAAAACATGAGAAAAATAATTTCGAGGAAAAAACTCAGCATGGTGAGAACTTTTACATGGTAACCTAAGCATGAGATTGATCATGCTAATTGCTGCAACAAGACATAGGAATGATTATGTAACTTCGAAAGAGGGTGATGAGGAATCTCTTAGTAAATAATGTTAATGGAGAAGCTAGGGGAAATAAGGGCAGATGATGTAAAGAGTGTTCAGAGGAGATGATAGGACAAGACAATAGATGATGGTGATATATCTAGAATTTCAGATGAGTTTAGAATCATGGATTTTTGAAAACGTAGTATCTTGAAGGTAGCTATAGGTGGAGGATACATGAGAATTGAAGATGGAATTTTGGGGAGTTTCTTTTAGTTTTTGATTTCATTTTCTTGAAAAAAATTCTTTTAACTTGTTTTTAATTTGAATATATTCTTTGGCTTATTATATTCACATTTTTAATATTTTTATTGTAAGTTGGTTAACTTAGATCAATTGATATAAATTGGTAAGCTACATGTTAGCTTGACAATTTTTTTTTTAAAATTATTGAGCTAGCTTTTTTTATTAAATCCGATGAATTGTTTTAGCACCATATTCTAAAATATTTGCTCTCACCTAGACTAGACCCAACCATACTCAACCATAGGGTGATATTATTAGTTGAAACTTGCTCATATTTTGAGTAGATTTGAACTAGATTTGATTGGTTGAGTCATTTTATTTCGTTATTTAATCATATTTCGTTATTTAATTTAATTCCAAGTCATTTTAAGCTATAATTTGTTCAAATTTGAGCAAATTGGATAATTGAAGTTATGGGTAACAACCATGAGGTATTTTGAGTTAGCTAAAAAATGATTTATTTTGGGTGGAGCCAACTTGACTCATGCTATATAATTCAAGTTTGAGTATTTCAAATTAGTCTACATCTGAAATTTTTAAGTTGAAATGAAGCTTTACTTCTAGAAGTCTGCCTGTTCCATGCTTACCCGATCAAGTTAGAGCGTTGTCTAATCCATCTAAACCCATTTTAGAATATAAGTAGTTGGCTTAGAATATAAGTAGTTGGCATCACCTAGGCCAACTAGGTTTGATTTAATTTCTTACGGGCTAATCACAAAGAAACACACTATAAAAAATAATGAATGAATTAGCTTGTTATTCACATTCATTTCTTTACCTACCTTATCATGCTTATTTGAAGTTTATTTATATTTATATATTGTTTTTGACTTATTTTGAAGTTAATATGGATAAAAAAATTAATTTATTAGTTAGAATTTTTTTTTTAAATAAATATCTTGTATGGAAACTTAATTGTCAATGTGATGTTGATGAATGCTTAAGGTCTGGTTAATTTTTAAATTTTATCGTTCCAAATTATATATTGGGTTTCTCCAAGTTATGTACAAGGTATCCTACCTCATCGCTCCTTCCTCTCAGTTCAAATATACTTTTGAAGGTTTGTTTAATTTGGTTTGTATAACGATTGCTTTATTTTCTTTTTCAAGTGGTCTCAGGTTTAAAAACTTGGCCTTTCCTTCTTTGATCCAATTGATGAAGAAAGAAGAGTTTTGTTCTATCTCCGTTGATTATTATTATCAAAACAAATGTACTTTATACTTCCTCATCATTACAGTTGACCAATGTCCCCTCTTTGTTTGATTTTTGGGGATCCCTCCATTTTTTGAAGACATATATGTTCTATTCATTTGTTAGTACCCTTGACGCCTACAATTCATCTCTTCTCTTTTGTTTGAGCACTATCTTACCCAAAAATATGCTAACCTTTTAATTGTGCTTGAAAAAGAATTTCTTAAGGAAATCAAGCAATCCAAGCAAGGAAGAGGTTTTTGATGGGCAATTATGGTGCTTGTTTTTCACTATCAAAGCCATCTTCAATAAGGATTTGTTATCTATTTTGGAAATCACTATTTGGCTGGGTCCTTATTTACTCTATTAAGTGTTCAATTTTTGTTGATATTAGTATTCTTATTTATATATTCTTTGGTAAATTCTTTGAATTTGTGTAATAATTAATTATATGAACTCTATTTTACTTAATCGAGGATATTCCTACAAACCAATCATATAAGGTGGGATTTTTATACAAGTAAATAGAGTACACTAAAATTATTATGTTCATAGCTTTATGAACTCGATTTAAGTTGGGGTTTAACTGCAACCTGAATTTACGTTAAATAAGATTTTTCAAATCCAGTAAATCCGATAGTCTTTGCAACGGAGATGAGCTCACGAGCGACGGCGGGAATAAATTCTTAAACCATCATTCAATTGGATTTACTAAATCCGGGTTTACATCCTAAAAGCGATGGAACGTGGGAAGAAAAGACAATGCAAAAAAAAAAAATGATTTAATAGGGAGATGGATTTAATTTTTGTTTTTTTTTATGTTTGGTTGGTTTCACGCTAAATTCATGGCTAAATCCTATTTAAATTATGCTACCAAACACCGTTTTAGTTTTATTTTAATTTTTATTTATTTGGTAAAAACATATATGGATCCAACTTGAGCAAATGATTGGTTAATCCCAGGAAGAAAAGCTGACTGAAAATGAAAATCCGTCATCCTCCGAAGAAAGTTCACAGAATGTGAACTCCCTGGAATTAAACTGCTGGAGTCCTGAAGGAATAAGGCACTTGCCATGGGATAAAGAGTATGCCTTGAAAGGTAACAATAAAGAGAGAACAAATGGCACAGACGATATATGGCCAAGTAAAATGCGTCCAACGCAGAAAATTGAAAACTTCATGAACATCAATAAGGAGAACCATGGAAGTTTGAACAATACAAGCAATCATAATGTAGTTTTGCAATACCGAGAAGCATTTTCTAAGCCCGATGACTGTCAGTTGAAGGGCAAGCAGAACTCGCAACAACTTGGAAGAAGTATCAATGAAGAACAAAAAGAAGTGATGGCAGAAAATGGTTTTATTTCAACAAAGAACAGAGATGTCGCAGATAAGCAGGGAGAAAATTCAAAAGCTCATTGTTTGATTGTCAATGGGAAGAGAAGTAGATTTGAACTACAAGAAGACGACGTCGTTTCACAAAAAGAGCGTCCCTTTTCTGTGAGAGGAGTCTTAACAGAGAAAACTAATGTTTGTTTTGCCGAGGAAGCGATCAAAGCTGAAGCTATTGGGAAATGGCAGTTTCCTCGCAAGAGCAAACCATATGCTGGGCCTCCATTGAAGCAGCTTAGACTAGAGCGCTGGGTGCGTCGAGCAGGGTAGCGCCTTCTTATCACAGAATTTGGTGCGTCACAAACTTATACCTTCTTATATATTTTGTGGAATTCAAAAGTCTTTTTTTGTTGTTGTTTTGTTTATGGGAGGATTGAATTGAAGGAAATGAAAGTTTGGTTATTTATGCTGATGGTAAAATTCTTTCAACTTGAAATTTAAATTTTTAGGCTTTTATTACTTATATAATACTTCGTTGAGTAATTAGTTAGTAATTGTTATGTAATAAATTTATGACTGCAGAACTGCTATTTCTGAAAAAAATGACCATTATACACTTGTTTGGTAAAATTGTTTAAAAAAAGACTGTAACAGTGAAATTTTTGTAACTCCATAAGCAAAATTTTTTATGTAATAAATTAGTTAAACTTGAAATTGTTAATTATGTAATAAATGTAATTGTTGAGTAATTAGTTAGTAATTGTTATGTAATAAATTTATGTGATTGATTAATATATTTTAAAATGTTAACTTGTTAGATAGGTGAACATATGAAACAAAAGACTTGTAATAAGAATGCTCTTATATTCGGTGGGACGAAAGTATTAAATATATTTTTTATTTAGGATTTAACATATTATTAACGAACTAATTAATTTAACTATTTTTTATCAAATATCGATGAATACTTAAAAATAAAGCCAATTAAAGGGATGTGTGCCCAATTTTTTTTTCCCAAGTTGGAATATATTTTCATTCATAATTTTTATAACATATAAATCTTAAAAGAGGAAATAACAGTGCGGGTGTAACAAGATCTTTATTTGTAAATGCCCCATTTTATTAGTACGACAGAGATATACATTGAATGAGAACAT